TTATGGCCTCCCAGACTAACCTCTACCTCACATACCTGTCTCTTGCTCTCTCCTAAAGGGCAGCCCACCTTATTTGAATGCAAATTCCTCTCCTATTGTATTTTACACCTCACCTCCTAAAGAATGTAAGCTCGTTTGAGCAGGTTCCACTCAAACCTATCGTTCCTTTAAAGGTTTTTTTTTTAAATTGTCCTATTTATAGTTAAAGGACCACGATAGTGCCCAGAGGGTGCCCCACCCACATGGCCCCCCTCCCGCCGGGCTCTAGGGGGTGGAAGGGGTTAAATTTATCTCTTTCTCCAGCGCCAGGCGGGGAACTATCCTCTTCCTCTCTTCCTCCATATCGCAGTCATCGGCTGAATGCTCATGCGCGGCAGGAGCCGCGCACGCATTCAGCCAGTCCATAGGAAAGCATTCTCAATGCTCTATGGACGCTGGCGTCTTCTCACTGTGAAAGTCACAGTGAGAATCGCGGAAGCGCCTCTAGCGGCTGTCAATGAGACAGCCACTAGAGGCTGGACTAACCCTATTAGAAACTTAGCAGTTGGGGTTAATCCTAGCTGGACCTGGCACCCAGACCACTTCATTAAGCTGAAGTGGTCTGGGTGCCTATAGTGGTCCTTTAAACCCCCCTCTCATAATATTGTAAAGCGCTACAGAATCTGTTGGCGCTATATAAATGGCAATAATTATAATAATGTACCTTGCTGATCTTTATGGCACAGGGTGCACCTGGGAAGCCGGGCAGGCAGGTCTTAAAGGCAGAAATCTCACTGAAAGGTCCACGACCACAAGCGTTTATTGCTGCAACTCTGAATTTATATGCTGTCCCAGGCTGCAACTCTTGTTTCTTTAACTGAGTGTAATCTGGAAGGACACCAGAATCATCCTGAAAAAATAAATAAATTTAAAAGTTACAATTGAAAGTACATGTCCTGTCTGAGAAGAGAAATTATATTGGGGAGTGTGTATCACAGTAGTCATTTAGATAAGGTGCGTCAATATAGCCACTGAAATAGAATTGGTTAATCACTTGATACTTTTTTTTTTTACTGTTTCAATGTCAAATAGCAGGAGACATCCAACGCTTTTGGGGAAAGTTCTGCCTCTGTATGGCTCAGTTATAAGTGTCTTTTCTTCTTGCCAATCTGTATATTCAATGAAAATCTGCTGTGCTAACATTATCTGTGCAGATTTGGATATTGTAATTTGTCGAAGTTTCAATAAAAATATATTGACATTAAAGAGGAAAAAATATTTTAACTTAAAGAAATCATAGTTAAAGATGAAAAACCAGCTTATTAAAGGACCACTATAGTGCCAGGAAAACATACTCTTTTTTCCTGGCACTATAGTGCCCTGAGGGTGCCCCCACCATCAGGGTCCCCCTCTTGCCAGGCTGGATGAGAGGAAGGGGTTAAACTTACCTCTTTCTCCAGCGCCAGGCGGGGAGCTCTCCTCCTCCTCTCTGGCTGAATGCGCATGCGCGGCACATGCCGCGCGCGCAGCCAGTCCATAGGAAAGCATTCACAATGCTTTCCTATGGACGCTGGCGTCTTCTCACTGTGATTTTCACAGTGAGAAACGTGGAAGCCCTCTAGCGGCTGTCAATGAGACAGCCACTAGAGGCTGGATTAACCCTAACATAAACATAGCAGTTTCTCTGAAACTGCAATGTTTATAGAAAAAAAGGGTTAACCCTAGCTGGACCAGGCACCCAGACCACCTCATTAAGCTGAAGTGGTCTGGGTGCCTATAGTGGTCCTTTAAAGTCTTAGATGTACAATTTTATTTGGATATACTGGGGAAAAAAAAAAAAAAAAAGAAAAGAAAAAGGATATACAGATATAAAAATGCACAGACGCACATTGTGCAGTAAAGTGGCAGCCTTTCAAAGAGGAAAAAGTCTTGATCTTAGCACTCACATCGTTGGTGGAGTCATCAGCGGGCAGATAATAATGTGTCACCATCATATTTGTGGCTTTTATTACTCCAACATCAAACCACTGATTTTCCTTCTTTAACGGAGCCTTTGGCTGCTGCTGCGGAGAATCCTGTTTCTGTGAAACAGGGAAAAAACATACGTACATATTAGTCTCTGTACAATGTATTGTTATTAAACCACTCTGTCCACAACTATTTGTAAAACCGCATACTTACCGATTCAATACCGTTGGCTACCTCTGTAAGAGCTGCTGCCGCTTGAAGCTTAGCAGGGCTGGCAATTACCACAGGCTGTGGGGCGCTGAAGGTGTTCGCTTGGGCCATGCCTGTCATATAAGAGGAAATGTGGATCAGTAAATGAATGTTGTACATAAATCTATCACTTATCAGAACAGAGTTTGGTTTTACCTTTTTTTGTATACTTTATTTTTGTGGTGCAAGTACTTAACTTTCTTGCAATGCCCCAACAACAGTAGCAAGGATGAGAATATACATGCATTAACAAAGTACAGGGCATAGAAGATAACTGCACACTTTTTTGTTTGAATAGCTAGGTCACATGCTGGTCTAACTTGTCCAAAGTATATAGTATAACAGTAAAACAGATCATGTATTCAATATAAGTTACCTAGACACGTGAATGGTTATGTAAAAACTAATTGTAAAACAAGCTTATAGGACAGGAGTATGAGATAGGAAAAGAATATAACCAATAGATTCTCAGGTAATCACGTTTGGCAGCTTGAGTTGTAAGGTTACAGGCTAACTGGTAGTTTGGTGTCATAAAATCTAGAGTTATGAAAAATAAGGAAGTTTAACATGCTGGATCTAATAAGCGTGTTAGGCATGTTATATAACATTAGTCGACTGGCTATATAGGAGCAGAGTCCAGATGCAGGAGCCATCCCTATGGTCAGCGCGAGATCTCACAGGATGAAGCAGGCTTGTGGTTAACCGATGCCGGATCTGCCTTGTCGAAGCACCAGGCAGAGTGTGTCCACAGAGGCAGGGATCTGAGCTCAGTCCAGCAAGGCTTGCCTTTCATCTCTATGCTGGTTTCCTCTGGGCCGCAGTGAATCAAGATGGGCTCTGCCATGTTTATGCAGCAGGAAGCTAGTGTCCGTCGAGTCAGGGATCTGGTCAGAGTCCAGCCAGGCTTGCCGCTCAACTCCACGCTGTGTTCCCCTGGGCCGCAGCAATGAGTGTGGGGTTGGCTCAATGGCAGGATACTGTGCTTGGCGGCAGAGTCTCTGTTCCCCGACGGAGATAGTCGTTGTTCAGGGTTCCAACCCTGTGGTACAGCTGTTGTCGGCAGAGTGATTGGGTCCCTTGCACAGCTCAATGCCGGCATGGATTGTTGAAGCGGAGGAGGGCTTTTCTGTCTCACAGCGATGCGAAGCCAGAAGGCAGCGAACACATCATCTAGTCTTTGGGTGAGTGAGCGTGGCTGTGTAGCACCCGGATGCCCGCACACAGCCTCTGCTGGCTTTGTGGGCCCACGGTGCCGCTACCGGGCACCAAGACTGTCGTCTGGGACCGGGATAACCCCCACTGGCCCTTGTCCCCCCCCCCCCCCCCTCCTCAAGGTTCGAGGCTTGTATGGCGGCGGAGGAGCGCCTCCATGTCGACCACGGTTGTAGGCCACACATAATCCTCGAGTGCCTTCATTGGAAAGACTTGTGTGTTTGGTGCCAGGGGGATAAGCAGCGCTTCCCCTCTCATTCTCGTTTCGAGGTCGGGCCCATATTGTCGATTTGTCGTGCAGAGCAGGAGCATGTTCAGCAGCCCCCCAGGTTTTCCCTTTCTACATTTCAAGATTTCATTTTCAAAAAAAACCAAACGAAAGTGAATAAAAAAGAAAAATGGTGGGCAGACCGGTCGCACATCTTGTGCCCACCTATTAGCACTGAATATTGGCTGCAGACATAACCCATAGACAGGAGGAGACTACTGTGGCTGTACTCATTGAATTCTAGACCGAGATTGGCGGCTTTCACCGGGTATAGACCCAGAGCTACAAGAGGCCTACTCTCAGACAGTGCAAGGAGGCCTCGCAACCTTCTCTCTCTCAGAGAAACTGGATCTGGACCAAGCTCACTTGTTGCTGGGCCATTCATGAAGAAGCTCCATTGGCAACAACTTGGCAGTAGACTATGCAACGTTCCACATCTCCTGGGCAAGACCATGACACGGCTCCAATGGGGAGGAGCCGCAGAATTCATTCAGCTGCTGACCACGCTCTCACTAGGCCACTGCCTACTTTGGGACAGACCTTTAAACATCTCACCTTCAGGGAGGCTCCAAATTCTACTGGAAATTGGTGGGCCAATGCAGGACTGCTGTTACTTATTCTCATAGATGCAGTATTCATCCAACGTTGGGGATTGGTTGAGTCTCCTGAATTGCATGGCCTTAGTAGTCACAGTTACCCATCTTTTAGTATGCTACCACCATAACACTTTGGCTGTTGACCTACCATGTATACCCAGCATATTCCCTTTCTCTACTATCAAAAAATGTGCAGTTTTATCGCATTCTACAGTATTTATTGTTTTTACTGATTGATCTAGCTTGTAATGCCACAACAGCACTTACAAGTGTTTGTAACCTCAATGCACAAATAAACTCAAGAATTTAAACATAAAGAAAGCATGCATGCACACCGACCCTAAACAAACAGGAAAGTTCAAAAAGTTTTATTTTCTCTTTATAGGAATCCTTGGGTTGTAAACAGCTGCAATAGTATGTCAGCAAGATCTATACACCGCTGATTAACATATACTGAACATTACACAATAGCATTAGGAATAGAGGTTGGCTCCTAAGAGACAAAAGACGCATGCCTCTAATCCTGGTTAGGATATTATAAATGACAGAACATTATAGGCGCACATAAAAACCTTATTTTCAGTTGGAGGTAAGGACAAAGGCAGCGATAAATAAAAGCACTTACTCTCAGCGGCTGCAGAAGGCAGAAGTGTCACTGCGGTGGTCACTGCACTGGTCAGTTCATTGAGGCCATTACTCTCACTGGCAGGGTCATTAAGACTGTCAGCCGGTGCCAGTGCTTCAGTAGGCACATGGTGCAATTGCTGCAGCTGCTGAAGTTGCTGCAGGTGCTGCTGTTGCAGCTGTTGCTGCTGCTGCAACTGTTGCTGCTGAAGTTGCTGCTGCTGAAGCTGTTGTTGCTGCAATTGCTGCTGCTGTTGAGCTTCCTGCAATTGCTGCTGCTGCTGTACCAGAGCTGCTAATTCCTGCTGGGTTAGTACAATCGGAATAGTTGTTGCAGTGCCTTCCGGCGTCAGGTGACGAAACTCTGCATGGGCTACGTCAGAGGTGTCCATGGGTTCTCCGGCTGCTACTTGGAAACCCGTAAGAGGAAAAAAAAAAAAAAAATGATTTCTGGTGTAAATAAAAACACAATTATTTTTCCTATTTTTAACTGACTAATGGACCTAGAGCAATCTTTGGTGGCTACGAAAAAAAAAAAAAAAAAAGACTGAAGAACTGGTTCAGTAGACTATACTCAAAAACCATCTAACTGCTGGCACTGTCTTGTTTGATATAACCACTCTGTTACTTACCCATCACTGCCTGCTGTGCAGCTTGTAGGACTGCCTGAATTGCCAGGGCCTGGGCCTCTTCTGTAGCTGCTGCTTGTGCGGCAGCTTCTGCGGCAGCAGTTACTGCCAACTCCTCCGGTGTCAGCCCTGTCACCATGAGTGTGGTTGTCTGTCCTTCTGCCATCAGCTCTTGGGGAAGAGAAAGCTGCTCTACTCCTTGTTGCCCTGCAGCAACAGCAGGCTCCTGACTAGGTTCTGCCTCCATGGCAGCTTGCAGCTCGGCTTCACTATGCTGTGGCAAGGCACTCTCCATGGTCTGTGGCTGTCCCTCTGCTTGCATATCCCCGTGGGGCTGAAGAATGTTTGCAGACAGCTGGGCTTCCTGTGGCTCTGTACAGGAACCTACATCTGACCCTTGGACTTCAGAGGTAGGTTCTGTCATTGAGGAAATGTTCTGCAGAAGATAAAAAAAAAAATAAAAAAAAATTATAAGACATTTCACCAGTTAACAGATACAAGGGAGGAAAGATTTGCTAGACACTTGGCTTTATATCTCACAGTTTTACTTCTTTCAAGAGGCCACACAAACCTCCATATTAAGCTCACAGATGGTTTTAATTTAATAAAACAAACATTTAGTTTGAATAAATAAGGCTGCTCTATATGAAAAAAAAACAATCAGAAATTTTTAAAGGAGAAATCAGCTGGGAAATACAACTGGATAACATACATTATATCTATATAAACAACTCTACGCAGAAAGGTGGAGTACAGACTGACAACTATTGCCATCCATTCCTTAGGTTTCTAACAAGCCGAATGTGAAAGTGAAACATATTTTATACTTCACCAATTGCAAACCACACATTCTTTTAAAGAAACGGTTTAATATGCCCGATGTTCCACTTGAAGGCAGACCATTCACAAACAATCGACTTTTACTGTAATCGATCTACCTACTATACTTACCGGCACAGAAGGTCCTGGCATAGGAGTAGATTGTGTCACAGTTGTCACTGCTCTGAGAGCGATGGATGGCACGGAGGAGGGTGTTGGGGAGGAAGATGCTGCTACTGCCGCCACTACTGTCACAGGAGAAGTTGAAGCTGCATTGTTAATGTTGGCACTTTGAGCAGGTGCCTCTGCAGGGACAGTGTCCTGCTCTGCTTGTCCATTGGCAGCTGGTGGTTGATCTGAAGAGAGAAAATAAAGTTTGTAGTTACTACAAGAAACTCGTGGCTTCAAAACAATAAAATTGTATTGCTTACTATTAAACAGTTTATAGCAAAATGACAGTATGGAAGGACTAAGGCGTCTGACACAATGGGCTAGTTTATGATCCAACGAAAGTGGCTATTGCTGGAAGATCTAGGGTTTAGTCGTAGAGTTGAAAAAAATCTCTGGATAAAAGCAGCAATGTCACACATTCGCATTTGTATAGCACAGACATATTCTGCAGGGCCGTACAATTTTTAAACAGATATTTCACTAGTAATTGACATACATAATACAAACAAAAAAGGATAAAATGCACTGTTCAAATTAGATTATTTTCAGTGTAATGTCACTTCCACTCCTGATGCTGTAAACCAGGAAGAATACTGAATGCACCAGGAGTAAAGATACAGCAGCTAGCTGTTTTAAGGTTGACCATGAGAACTTACAGCTAAAGAAATTGAGAGAAAGTTGGAATGTGGGAAGGGTGGAAATACTGCAGGGGAAGGAGCCACTTGCACTAACCCACACAGAACTAGAAAGTACAAACAGAAATCAAGTACATTAAAAAAAAAAAAAAAAAAACACACACACACACACACACAAAAGGCTAGACGATTACACCAGCTTACCTTGATTAGCACCCATGCTGGCGGTAACAGTTGTGGCTGTGTGGGTTGTTCCAGTCTCATGAGTTTCACATGGTGGATTGGAGCAGATCTGCTGGGCAGGGGGCACAGGCTGGCCTTCACCCATGCTAGATGTAGATGTGGTTGCAGTATTGGTGGTGTTTGTCTCATGGGTTTCACAAGGAGGATTGGAGCATACACGCTGCACTAGCCCAACAGACTGTGATGCCACAGGCACCAAAGTTGGGTCACAGGGGGGTCTCTGTACATTGTCATTCTGCTCTGTAGAAATGTTGGACCTGGATGTGGTTGTGGTGCTGGTGGTGCCAGTTTCATGCGTCTCACAAGGAGGGTTGGAACATACAATATTTACCACCTGATCGGATGTATTTTTTAAGTCTGTAGATACCAATATGGTGGTGTGACTAGAATTTGTCTGGTGGGTCTCACAAGAAACATTACTCGGAGAGACCTGCTCAGTGAGGTTTGATTTGGCGGTTGTGAGAGTCTCACACGGTAGAGTAGAAGAGTTTGACTCTGCTTGCTCAGTAATTGAGGATTCGGGTAGTATGTTCTCTACACCACGTTCTACTTCGATAAGGTTAGAGGAACTTGAAGTAAAGTTTGTTTTCACAGACATGGTAGTTTTTGTAGATACAATTTGAAGAGTTTCACATGGAAGATTGTTTGCGGTCCCTTCCTTGTTCTCTGAAGGCCCTGTGTTAATATTGGATCTGGCTGTTGGTGTGTGGGTTGTGCCAGTGTCATGGGATCTGGCTGTTGGTGTGTGGGTGGTGCCAGTATCATTGGTTATAGAGGACAAATGGATTGTATTGTTAGGCTGTTCAACTCCTACTGTGCTGTTATTTGGGGTTTCACATGTTGGACTTGATTCCGCTATTAACTTTTCAGGCTGCGTACTGGCACAGTCAGTGTGCACACTCATGACTGTATGTGTAGAGGTTGTCTGTAAAGTGTAGCAAGGTTGGCTTTTTGCAGGTGCCTTTTGACAATCCTTTTGTTGCGCTTTTCCCATATTTGATCTAGCAGTTGTTGCGGTTGGAGTTGTGCCGGTTTCGTGTGTCTCACGTGGTGGATTAGAACATATCAGGGTCACTCTCCTTGTTTCGTCACTTCCCATATTAGACGTTGCGGTCGTTGGCGTCTGAGTGGTTCCTGTCTCGTGTGTCTCACAGGGAGGGTTTGAGCAAACTCTGGTAACACTTCCTGTCTGGCCAATATTGGCCATGGCAGTTGTTGCGGTTTGTGTTGTTCCGGTTTCATGAGTTTCACATGGAGGATTGGAGCACACTCTCACAACATTACCGTTAGCCTGCCCTAAAGTAGTTGCAACAAATGTGCCTGGCTCCTGACCTTCACAAACAAACTGTAAAGTGCCGCCAGGTTGTTGAACAATACTACTGAGGTTCACAAGGGTGGTGGTGGCAGTATTTGTGGTTCCCGTCTCGTGTGTCTCACATGGGGGGTTAGAGCAAACAAGCGTAACTGTGCCAGGTGGCTGGTCGCCTTGACCAGAGTCTGCTATAGTTACTGTGGCTGTAGGCTGGTCAGTAGTCGGGGAAGCCAAAATAGACACTGGAAGATCATGAACTGGTTGGGCTTCAACGCCACTAGGGGTGGTAATTAATGTCACTTGCGTTGGTTGAGATAATGGCTGCAATAATTAAGTGTAAAAAAAAAAAAATAATATATAATTACACACAGGAATTTTAATGTCATATGCGAAATTAAATATAAAGTAATAAATATAGTCTTAAAAATAAAAAAATGGAAGATGGGAAGAAAAAAGAGAAAGAAAATAAAGTGTCAAAAATGTTTTACCTGCATGGTTATTGTGGGTGTGGTAAGACCGGATGCTGCAGTGAGAGATGTTTGAGCTGCTGACATGGTTATGGCTCCAGGGTTGATCACTTGACTGGAAAGGGTGGCAATAGTGCCCAGGGTGTTAATAGGAGTTGCAAGAGAAGCAGTGTTATGAGCACCTGCCCCAGCTAAACTTGAAGAAACTGTTCCTGTAACAGTGCCAAGAGTGGTAACCCCTAAAATAAAAAAAAAGATGAATTAAACTTATTTCTCTTACTGACAGCATCTTTGAGAATATTAAGGGACGTGTAATGAACCTCCCCCTCCCCTCACCCTCCCTTCTGCAGTTTTCCCAAATTGTTCCAGTTTTATATTTTTACCCTCCTTCCAATAGAACAGCTACATGATCTTGAATGGAATACCTGTTGTCCCTTTAACCACAAGGGTTGTGACTGTAGGTTTGACTGCAGATACGGTAACCGGTGTGACTAGTCTGACGCCACCCATGGGAACAGTTCGAAGGATGGTGCCAGGTTGGCCTGGAGCTCCCTTTAACACCACCTGGAGTTAAACACAAAAAGATGCACAAGTCTGGGATTGAATGAGTGTCACGTTTACATTATATAAATAATGTACTGGGGTCACCTACCTGTGTTAGGCCCTGCTGTCCATGGCTGGTAGTGAGCTTGGGCACAGCTGTAATAATTTTGGCAGGTGTTCCAGTACCAGAGGTCACCATTTTTGTTGTGAGTATGGTAATTGGGGACTTCATCCCAGCACTACTTGTTACACCTGTATTAGAGAAGTAAATGTTGGTATGGAATACACACTTGGAAAGACATTCCCACACACACACACACACACACACACACACACACACACACACACACTAAGACTATGAGCAGACAAATATTTGTTATTGTATTATTGACTGATGCCTACTATACTTTAACTGTAAAAAAGTTTTTTCAACAAGCAGTAAACTATAGGCACATCAAGGAATTC